CGTCGTTAAGAAATGTGAAATAAATAAATCGTTTTACCGCGCGTACACCAAATAAGAAAAATATAGGCCGCCTAAATAAAAGGTTAACACTTGGCTGGAGAAAAACATCGAGAAAAAGTCAACGTTTCATCGAAATACATAATAAAAACATTGCCGAGAGATCAGTTATATGTATACATAAGCTCTTGAACTCTCTTTTTCCTTATAGAACTAAATTTTTCGCAAAATTAGAAAAATGAAAGTGAATGTGTTTGACTACTTTCGGTACTACAAGTACTTCGTTAAACTTTGTCACGGTACAAATGGAAGTGATGTACGTATGTGTACGTGAAAAAAGTTGGTGTATTATACAATAAAACATTACTGGTAATTCTATTTGAATTACTTTGCATTACGCCGAGCACTTTGTGTGGTGTAATTGTAGTTGCTGCCGTGTTTGTATTCCGTGTTTTCGATTTCGTTTTCGATTCGAAAACTCACGGAACATCATACGCATCGTACAAAATAGCAATTATAGTACGTGTAGAGTCTTCCGGAGGCAACGCGCAGGATGGCGCTGCTGCGGAGCCGACGAGCCCTGGGAAAACATCGACTACAACAACAGTATCCGCAACCACAACAACAACAACAGCAACACCAAATCCACCGGGTGCCAACACAATCACAACTAGTCCAATACAACCATGTGCGTCAATTTCTTCCGCAGAACAAAATATCTCACCATTGCAACGCGATATTTCGCCAAAGGTGAGTTCGTAAAGTGAGAATAAAGGGACATGTCATGTGCGCACACAACGGTGCTATGTTCGGCTCGTCATTCCTCGGAATTTTTTTTTAAGAATCTACATGTAGAGAATATCGAAGCGAGAATCAAATCACTGTACTGAAGCCCTGAAATCACAATATTATACATAACTTTTAGATCACATTGGTAGAGTTACATTGATGTTTTAATTTAAGAACATTGGTTCCGTAGCGTATTGCGTAAAATGCTAAAATTAATCTTACGTGGACACTGTTTGCAGTCTACCTGTAGTTTACTAAACCTGATTTTCCTTTAACCAAACAAGGTGGAATACTGGTGGCTTTCAATGCACTTTTTTTTTTAAATAAAATACATTTTTCACTTATACCAATAATTCTTTAGGTGTTTTTATAAAAAATATAAGAAATAAAATATTGAAATTTTATATATGTATGTAGTTACATACATATGTATCGATGTACATCTATTACATTTATAATTTAACTTGAAAAATAATAATTTCTAATTACGTGACATATTCGCATCTTATCTTCACAGGGCTCTGAAAGGTTGGCACCTATAGTTTTTCCTTCGACTCCTGCACAACACATCGCAAATGCGACACCGAGTCCTACAACTCCACGAAAATCATCAGATTATCCACAGCAGGCGACAAGTGTTAATGTTAAGAATGAGAGCAATGAGAATTTTCCGGTGCCAATTGTCTCTGCGGGTGTGGTGCCCGGTGTGGGGCCGGCAGTGGGAGTGGGCAGCGGAATCGGGAGTGGAGTTTCAGGCATGTCTCCTGCTGGCTTGGGACAGCAAAACAAAGATAATGTTCCACTGGGAAAGAATAGTAGTCAAACTACTGTCAATTCGATGGACGCGGTGTCAGGATCGGGAGTTTTATCACCGATGCTTCAGCCGGCAAGTACAAGTGTATCTGCATCTTCTTCACACACGGCTACGATCACTAATGAAAAGCCATCAGCTAGCCCAAACACACAACCCATACAACAGCATCAGCAGTTGCTACCTCCGCAACAGCAAGCTCCGGTGGCAAGCATTCAACCAAATTTGCCGCCTAATTTTTCCACAGCATCGCATCAGGTAAGCATTACTTTCGAACAGAAAAACTATGAAAACCTTGACACGTAGTTGTAAACAAATTAAAAGCAGGTTTGACCAGGTAAGCACCGATTGAGAAGGATAGCCACTACTTTAGAATATAATAGATTCGTTAGAGGATGGGCACTGCGACCCTACCCTAGGTCTATTGTGCCCTCAGAGCTCAACACAAAACCTCGTCCAGCCCTTATTCCTAGGGTATGCATATGAGCCCATAGCCTGCAGTGACCTGTTAGCAGTCCCGTAATAAATTTCATATTAGTCTTGTGGAGTGTCATTAGTTCTCTGGATCTTCTGGGGTTATAGCTTCCTAGCTTTCACTTGCCTTAGTCCAGACGTGTTCTCCTCGTGTGTCCTACTTAGGTGAACCACTACTTTAACTTTGCCTATCAAAAGCCACTTCGAGATTAATAAAATCTGCAGTGGAATTCTAGCAATCGCTACGCTAAATTTTCGTCGCCAAAATTCTCTAAATGAAAAGCAGTGGGGCCTAAAAGTATACCACATGGAAAGGCAACAGATGCAATGTATAATCAGCGAAACCTGGCAATATGAAGGCCATATAAATATATGTTGCGTGATGCTAGGCACACCTGCTATTCTTTTGGAGATTTTTGGCGATCAAAATTAGCGATAGCAAATGTTGGAATCCGGCTGCTGGTGAATTTATAGTTTACAATTTTTTAGTCGGTCTTACATAGTTTTTAAAACCCTATTGAATATTTTAGGTGTTCATTTCTCTTTTGGCTATAACGTGGTGATTAACTTAGAAAAAGCGGGAGAGGGGTGATTATATTTATTTACATGCATAAAAAACTTATTTATGTAAAAAATTTGTCGTAGGTTAATGTAGCCAATGATAGCCATCTGTAAGGTGGTCTTTATTATTAGAAGTCATGCAGAGCCCCGAAGTGTTGTCGGGATTGGGGTTTTTAATTTTCACTCACAAATCGTCCAAACCCATATTTAGAGTGATTTTTTTTACAATCAGGTTTTAGCCTAAAATTTGCTTTACATAGATGAGTATTATTAAATATATTTACCCCATTGAACGAATAACTCAGTTTTTTTTTTTTTTTCTATATTTAAGGTGCCCACGGAAACGAGAAACTTGGTCCCATCTTCACCCGCACAACAGCTTATTGAGAGCCCGTTTGGTCCAAAGCTAGCAGCAAATCCCGTTGGCGGCCATCTCGTTAGCTCGCCAATCAGTACTATTCACACAAAGAATTTGCCTCTCACTCAAGGCAACAATGTGCAAAGCACGGTAACACCAATTTCCATGATGTCTGGACCAATGACGACAACAGTAACATCGGCATCTGTTATGGGTGGCTTTGGAGCTAGCAGCAGATTGGGTCCCGGGCCACCTATGCATCATTTGCAAAGTGGTTTTACATCAGTATCAGCTACAAATCCCAGTATTGGTGTAAAACCAGGAGAAGTGACAACTGCCGCTGACGTACCCAAAAGTATTGCGGCACCGCCACCTGTAATAAATGGTTTTATACCCGCTTTCCTGCCGGGGAACGCATCAGCGCAAAATAGTGTTCGCATCTCACCTCACATGGGTCATATGACACCAGCAACAAGTGGGCCGCCAATCTCGGTCGTGCCGCTATCGGCAAATTCCACCACATCAGCGTCTGGCATTCCTGGATCTGTTACCAATGCAAATGTAGCAATGTCTTTACCCGTTACAGTGGCGGCATCGTCGGGGGCTATGACATCGGCAACTATGGCCACCATGCCGAAAGGTTCTTACGTGGTTAGCACAAATACCACAGGTACAATGTCAAGTAGCGTATCAGGTCCAAACCATGGCATATTTGCTCAAGGTAATGTAGCTATGGGCATTCCCGGTGGACCGCCGATTATGAGTGGTGTTCCAAATGGCATGACCCCAATGCTAATTCATTCGCCCTATCGCACGCCGTATCCGGGATATCCTTTATATGCACCATATAGCGGTCTGCCACATAGTCCCTATCATCCACCTGGCGTGCCATCACCTAATGCGTCTCCCCGCACAATCGACACACGTACTGGCAGAGAAATAACACCCATAGCACCTTCACCTAAAGTAATTGCAGCTGGGATGCGGCCGATGACACCAGTGAGCAGTTCGAATTCGGCTTCGACAACGCCTGTTAGCAGTAGTGGCGGTACGACAATTGCTGCACCACCACCACAACCACAGTCAACTGCAGCGTCAGTGCAAATGTCACTGCCAGGTTTGATACCAGGTCCCGGGCCAGGTATGCCACCTGGTCAAGCTCCGCATTTATTGCACCACATGCCCTTTGGAGCTAATCCACATGGGCCGCCACAGCCAATGCCGACTGGTGTTGGAATGCAGATGGGCATGGGAATGCCAAATAATCATGGTTACAGCAGCAGTAATAGTAGTATCAGCAATAATACAAATACAACAACAACAGCATCGATCGCAAACTCAACATCCTTAAGCAGCAACAGTAATAACAGCGGCAATAGCAATAGCGGCATAAACAGCAGTGGCAGTGGTGGACCAGTGGCTGCTAACAACAATGCTATTCAAATGCAGCGTGGAGAGGGCTCACAATTACTTCCGCCACCTCCTCCGCATATGCTTTCACATCCACATCTACCACCACCGCCCACCCACACCGGAGCGGTGGCGCCGGGCCCACATATGGCTCCCATACCACACATGCTAATGCATCCACAACATGCAATGTTGCGCGGCATTTCTCCCAGTACTGCCAACACGGCCAGCGGTGGTAATTCCGGCCTACCGTTAATTGGTGGCCCTGCTTCTTCATCTGTGATTCAGAGAGTTATCTCCCCTAAAAATGAAAATCCCAGCAGGGAGCGCGATATCGCATACAGGTACCAATACATTCACACTTATTATTATGCCAATTTTTATACCCGCGCGCACTTGTATATAAGAGTATTATATCTTTGTTCGCATAACGGTTATTGAGAATTAGAAAAATCAGATAAAATCCACGCCAACTTCCCATATAAGGATAGTTTTCAATAACTATTGAAACCCAATTCATTGCTTAATTGCTCATATACAAATTCAGGAGTACCGTTAATTTCTTCGTGATCCAATGATCGGAAGTAAACCAAATTAGTATGGGACCACCATCCGATAAAAATTAAAAATTATCGAAAACGGTTACGTAGTCCAAAGTTATTCGGTCGTCTTAACGATTTTATTTATTCATATTTTTCAGTTCAATCAATATCAAAAGCCATGAAAATCTTTTTAATTTCATAGGGAAAATGCAAGAAATTTTTAAATTTTCAATTCGATTGGTATTTCTTGCCTAAAAATATTCTCGTGAACTATATTTTTATAAAAAAAAATATAGTTCACGAGAATATTTTTTTTTAACTATACAAAACCTGGGAAAAGGCAAGAAATACCAATCGAATTGAAAATTTTAAAATTTCTTGCATATAAATAAATAAAATTGTCAAAACGTCAGGTCCAGGGTATGCCTATTTTTGTCACTGAATATATGAGAAATATTCAGATTAATTGATAACCTCCTCCTTTTTTGAAGTCGTTAAAAAGCAAAACACAATATTTAATATGTACGTGCGCCGGATATATAAAGTTCGGTTTCGTCCGAACGGATTTTTTGTTATTTTTTTTTTAATACTGAGAATACTTAATTAATTTTCCATTGTGTTATTCGTTCTTATGACATGTAAATTCTTTATTACAGCATACCGCGCTCCGCGCCATCTATGAATACTCACAGTAGTGGCAGTAACAGTTTACCTACTGGTGCTCCACCATACATGACAACTGCTGTCAGTAACAACAGTGTGGGGTCCGCAATTCCGGTGCCCTTTAGTAGCACGGTTTCTGCGATGCATCCAATGCATTCGCATCCAACGACCACAATGGCATCATCGCATCAACAACACATTGCTACGTCGCCTAGTCTACCCTATCCACCCAAAAATACACTATGGCCCAGGTAAGTCAACGCAAAAAAAAAAAACAAAGCATTAGTGGACCGCATAAAAGTTTATTTTAATAAATATAAAAACATTAATACTTTAGTTCATCGCTGCAATTAACTCCATCAACGGCAACGACGATCAGCACGTCATCATCATCCAGTTTGACAACGCGTCCAACCCCGCCGCCGGCGCAATCTCAGGCATCATTAAATATAGCTGGTGCTTCGTCTGCTTCCAATGCTGCGACAGCTGCTGCTTCAATGCCTGCTAACTCAGCTTCTCCCCAAACATCACACGCTGCTGCTGGATCTCTTACTACATTTCAACCTCCATTTTTCATTACTCCTTTGCCACCTCCTCCACCCATAGTACCCGCTTCTTCTATAAGCAGCACCTCAACTACACCATCTGCATCGTTGGCGTCATCGGGTGCAGGAACTATAGTTGGAGCTGCACCAGCGACTGTTGGTACCACATCGGCATCTTCAATGTCCTCCACACAGACGACTGTTACCACAGCAACAAGTACACCGGTAACAACATCCGCACCACATCCTTTCTCGGCCGAATCTCTATTTCAAACTAGCAAAAGTAATTGAACATATTAATTTTTATTTTGAAACTGCTACTACACATACACATTTTTCATTATTTACTTCCCAATCCCCCTCCTTGGAACCATTACACGCCTTTTTTGTACCTTAGATGATCAAGCAGATCTGTTGAGGCGTGAATTGGATAGCAGGTTTCTCGATCGTTCTGGTTTGGCTGTACAACCGCCGGCACCACCACCACCCTCCACGTATTTACGTCAGGAGCTGCACCATCACCAGCACCAACATACACACCTACATCAGCATCAACAGCTTATTCCGGCCGCTTTGCCGGCAGCACTTCCAGCTGCACCGCCCCCAGCACCGGCACCCATATTCCCGCAATTATTCAAAGACATTCCAAAAATTGCGGCAGTGGAAACACCGTTCTATCGAACCGGCATTGGTTTGCCTGGCTATCCGGGATATAATTCGGGACTGCTACATCCAGGGCTAGGTGGAGCAACGCCTTTCATGCCGCCCGGGCACCTAACTTCATTCGCGCCAAAGGTAAAACATTACTTATTTCTGCATGTACTGCACAAGCGAATGCGGACACTGCTGCACAGTATATAGCTTATATACTGATACTTTTACATAACTACATACACATACCTACTATTATACACAAATTTTAAATTGTCCACTAACAAACTATCCGCCAAACAAACATACATTCCTCTAACACCTTTTCTTGTTTTCATGTTAACAATCATCACCATGTTACGTTTCGTATCCCAACAACCAAACAATCCAATTATTTAGCCGCCACCGCCATCATCGCCCTCCGCTAACACCAATGCCACGAACTCAAACAATCCACCAACGAATCTTGATTCCTCTAAAGTTGCGAGGTTTACGGTATGTTTTTTTTTTTTGTTCTGAACACCATCTGTAGAAATCTGAACATTTAAAAATTATTGGTTAAGAAGTATGTAGAGTCGGTAGCAGCACGTTAGCAAAAGCTAATGAAATACAAATTTTTTAGTAGCTAAACTAATGAGACGTTTTAAATTTTATTTTAATTTATTTTTTGTTCTTATTATAAATTTGCAAGTCCAAATAAGTTACGTATTTTAGTAAATCAAATGAATGGAACGTTTTGAAAAGTAAGATTTTAACCGTTTGTCAATTGAGGCAGCAGACTATTAACTAATTGATTTTGAATATTTTAAGGCAGAGAATATATCCAATGCTATTTATGCATTTTTAACGTAATTCGTACGGGAATTCTATTGCATGCATTCGTGATATTCGGCTACACAGAAATTTTGCAGCAAGCTCGGAGAGAGTTTGGCAATTATAGCAAACTAAATTTATTGGACCAAACTGTCGTAGAATTAGTGTTGCCGTAAACAAATTTTCTGGGCAATTGTTGTTATACACAAAAAGTGCAGCTATACCAAAAAATAGAAAACTGAATGTATGCTGTGGGTGCTTCAAAGCTTACGAACCGGTTAATTTATGTACATCTGCAATTTAATTTCGTGTTGGCGATAGGCATATAAACAACACTCATGGTGTTACCCTATGCCTATGAATTAATATCCGAATATAAGGAAACTCAGTGTAACTATCTCAGAGCAAACTAAAGAGCTGTCATCTTGTTTGCCAAACAAAAATTTCGTTTTCATAATACAGAGCTAACCTGCAACCGTGTGCCAAACTCGATGTAACCGCCTTAGAGCAAAGAAAGCAACCCCACAACCGTCGGCTCTACGTAACCGGAACGGCCCAGATTTATGTCTGGCCAGGGATTGTCACTTCAGCAAAACTCCCCAAAAGAACCTTTGGGGAATTCGTATGATGTTACAACTACAACAAACAAAGCAAGTTGTTTGCCAAACAAAAGTTGGTCTGCATAACACCAACCTAACACATCAGTGAGTGGTGTATGTGTTTCAGTTGTGTATTAGCCAGAGATCGCAGAGAACAGTTAACCAGAAAAATCATTTATGTTCCTCCCAAGGCGAATTCGTACAAGGTCGCCTTATTCTTAGCCTTACATGTGTTTTATCTTTATTTTTGCGATTTTAGCTATCAAATTAGTGAAAGCAAAAACAATACGGGAATTCGCTCTTATGTGTATTCGTTGTATGTTGTGTAATCGTAACTTCATGAGCGTGTGATTTGTTGTTGCTAGCGGTACATCAAATACACATGCAACAACAATCGCACGCTCGTCCAGTTACACTTACGCAGGATACAGCGAATACATAGAAGCGCGAATACCACTAATATACATGTAAATTTTGTTTTTGTACTATGTATTCCTTCTATATACCTTTTGTGATTTCGCCTTGGCTTGTACGTATATGCTGTTAATGGTTTCTCATTTTACGATACACTTCGTCCGTTATAATATAGTCGGTAGAGCTGGCCAACTATCGATACTGGCTTCGTTCGATACTTTCGATGTTTAGAAAGAAAAAAAATCGATACTATCGTTCCATCATACCAGGTGAAGTAATAAGAGCCAGAAGAAAGTTTTCACAGTGCCTAATTTGAAAATTTGCCTTAAAAATTTTGTATGAGACCATGGCGCAATAACCAAAAAAGTAAATCCTTCGATATATCAATAGTGCCATCGATAGGTTGCCAGCTCTAACAGTCAACCGCTGAGATTTATTTTTTGGGATGAAATCGCTATCGAATGCCGTGATCTCAATATCAAATTTCGAATACCACGATTCGGGCCCAGGTTTGTTCATGAATCGCTTCCAATAAGGGCTGCGAGTTCTATTCGGATTTTTTGAATATCTGGATATTCAAATATTTGATAAAAAATACGAATACGTATCTGGATAACCAAATGAACGGATATTAAGCCGATATCCGGTTATTGTAACAATATCCGGATATAAGGATACTCATACATACATATAAAAAAGTACGAAAACGTTAACCTAGCCAGTAGTTACTAACTAAAAAAATTTTAATTCGTTTTATTTGGGCAGTTTCGAACTAACAATTCCAAGAATGTATTCCTTCGTTTATTTAAAGTAAAAGAATCAGCTATTTTTTGTTGTGGCAAATTGTTAGAAGTAAAAATTTCTCTAGCATAAACTTACAATTTCAAAATTTGCCCAAAGCCAAGGTTTAAAGAAATGTTAGTGTAGTTGAAGGCCTTTGAGCCGTACATACATTCATATGTACATATGTATATGTACTATCGGTTGAATAGAACTTTTGATCACGAAAAGCATAAAAAATTAATTTATATTATTACAATTATGTAAAGTTTTAATCTTCTGCATTTTAATACATATAATATTATTATTCACTTTAATATCGTGCCATATTTGTCTTAATCATGCTGATACAATTATTTCCACCCATTCCTATGCTGCAATTTTCACTTCCTCACATAAAAACAATACATAAATTATAAACATTAAAACACATGTATGAGGAGAAGCTTTAGAACCCTACTCAGTCAACATATGCGCTTCTTGTCTTTCCAAATAGAAAACTGGTCGGTGGAATGCCATGCATGTGCGTATCGCGTGGGAGATTTACTATAACCAAAACAAACAAAATCCCGATAAACTAGCCAATAACCAGGCCGGCGTTGCTGGCGCAACTCCAGTTGGAGCATCACCAAGTGGGGCTCCTTCTTCTATGAATGCAGCTGGCAGTGTTGGACCTTCGCCATCTTCGTCGGTAACGCTAAGCGGTCTTAAAGCTTCGCCAGCACTATCGTTAAGCTCCGCGCCGCCACACATGCTGCATCGCCCGGGAGAGTTACCACCAGGCGCAATGGCAGCTTATGCTGCTGGTGCTTTGCCAGGTCGCTCGCCCTTCGAAACATCTCCGTTATCGACGAGTTTCATAGGAGCACCTCCCAGTCATATTGGTAATTGTTTTTAAACACAAATAAATTATCAATATATTATAAGGCTGCTGTCTTACAGGCACAGCAGTTTCGCCATTCGGTCGTTATGCTGCACCATTTGGTTTCGGTTTATCACACTTCGGCTGTGAAACGTGGCGGCCGTAAGTATTCTTCAAAAGTTTTAAATGAAAATAATTCTATTATAAACTTATGAAAATGTGTTCAATATTCTCACAGGTTACAACGTGCTGTAGCATATCATCCAGGCGCTACCAGCGCTCCTATGTGGCCAATAAAATCCGATCCGGCACTGGATAATGCGCGCCGTGAAGCGGAGGAACGTGAGAGGGAGCGTGAAATGCGCGAGCGCGAACAGCGCGAACGTGATCGGCAACGTCGCGAACGAGAAGAGCGTGAACGTAAAGAAAAAGAAGAGAAAATGAAGCGTGAGCAACAGGAGCGTGAACGTGAGCGTGAGCGGGAACGCGAACGTAAAGAGCGCGAACGCCGAGAATTGGAGCGGCGGGAATTGGAGCGTGAACGAATGATACAGCAACAACGCATTAACGAGAGTAACAAACTATCACAGGCGGCTGCCGCCGCTGCTGCAATGAACACAACACAGCGTGATCGTTCTCCACATCGCAGCATCAACGATCCGTTGGGCGGGCCCAGCGGTGGTGAGATACGTATAAAAGAAGAGCATCCGCGTACCAAAGAAGAACAAGATGCAATGATGATGCGTGCTTCAGCTGCTGCAGCTGCGGCGGGTGACGCACGCTATCATCAATCCATTGCAGTGGCTCAAGCTAGTGCGGCGGCTGCTGCACACCATGCATCTTTTATGGCCGGTCGGCATGGACCACACGCAGTGGGACCACCGCCACCGCCTCATCTCGCCCGCACAATGATGCCACCCTCTTTAGGCGGACCACCAATGACACATTTCGGACCTCCTGGACCTCCCGGTTGGCCAATGGACCCCTATCGTGATCCATATGCTCCAATGCTACGTTATAACATAATGGAAGCGTTGCGTCATGAAGAAGAGCGACACAAAGTGGCACTTAGCATGTATGCGGCACAGTCAGCGGCTCACCTACGAGGCAAAGAACCCAGCCCAATACCGCCGCCGACGGTGGGGGGTCCTTTAGGACCACCACCACCGCCACCACATCATCGCATTCAGCAGTCACCGCACCACCAACAATCGGTTGCCGGGCCACCGCCACCTACGATCATAGGAAAACCCCAAACACTTGGAGGTATGCCCCATCCGATTGCCATTGATGCGCATCATCCCGCAAAGAAGGATGAGCCTGGAGCGAATGTAGGAGTCAGTGGCATGCAAACAACGTCTTCGCCAGCGGCACAAGGTCGATGATAAATAACAACTCATCTTTAGAAAGTGTAGTTGTCGAATTGTTGAAGAACTGCGATTGCAAAACTTGCTAATTTTTGTAAATGTGTTTTCTTTTTTGTGCAAACTTGATCGCTTTAGCTACTGTTACTTTTTGTTGTTGGGTATATTGTAATGTGTAGAGCCATGTATAAAGCAAATCTTCGTACATACAAAAGTATATATGCAATATTTATTCAATAGTAGTATGTATATGTATTAACAATGAAAATAATACAAGTAGCTTACATGCAGCAGAGAGAAGCAACAATTATAAAGACTTTTGAATATCTTTCTTAAAAAGCGCAACATTCTACGAAGCGATTCGTAGACTTTTGCAATTGTAAAATATTTTTTTTTTTTAATTTTATTGTATAAAATATTTAAAACAAGTAAAATTAACTGATGATATGTATGTATATGAAAAAAACTATAAGGAATAAAATATTTACTTGATCGCATACATAAATAATTTATACAAAATCGCAGACTCGAACTTATGCATACTCGATATAATTTAGCGATAATTATATAAAACGTAAAGAAAAACAAAAAAAAACTTCAGACATACAGACAGCATGTAAGATATTTTAGGTGGCGACCTGTCGAATTGAATTCTTTACAATTGGACGGACATTATATATGAAAACACATACATTTGTACGTGCAGACATACAATAAGTGCAAGCAAAACAAAAAAAAATAAATAAAACAAAAAAAAACCACTTCAGATAAAATGAGAAACCAGTTAGTTCGTAATTGTATTAAATTGGTAGAATATTCGTAGGTTTATATACATTCATATATAAATAAATGCATAATAAAATCTAATTAGTACATAAATCGTCAGCACACACTCCCTGAGTATCCTTTCCTCACCCATCAATCCAAAAATTATCCGCTATCTACCTATGTATGTCCACACCTGCACCTAAAAAAAAAGTATATATATATACACCTTGAATATTTAGAGCATTTGTATTATTTGTATAATGATGGTATAAAGCAAAAATATATATTAAATTTATAATTATAAAATTATTACAATTAAGTAGCTTTACATTATTTATAAAAAATTAAAGTAAAATAAAAATTAAGAGGGAAGTGAATAAGTAAGATACATACACGCAACATGAGAAACAAAAATAAATTAAAAGTGAACTAATTTGCATATTATGTAATGTAATAAACGGATATAAATTAAAGATAGAAACAATGCTAAAATATTATAAAAAAAAATAGTTTCATTTTTATCATTTGTGTAAATAATGTTGCCGCCACGAAGTTATCGCGCAAATGCAAATGTAGTTGTCAAAGTACCAAATTGCTGGCAATATTTATCAATATAAAATATCTGATAATTATTGCTTGCCAAGAGCAATATGTGGTCTCCATTGCGGTTCACAGCTGAAAATATAATTGCATACAAAAAAGTCGCCGTTTGTAAATGAAA